ATAATGTTAAAAAATTAACAAGGTGAATCAGAAACCACGTCAATATTGTTTAGTTCCCTTCAATTTTCGCACGTCTCTTAGTTTAAACTAATATTAATCATTAACATCTATATCTAACAATATAATTTATTACTATTAAATATGGCTTTTAATAAAGTGAAATCACTTTATCATTCCGTTACTTATATGAGTGATAATATCGTTGACAGTATGCATAATATGGAAAATACAGCTAGGGTCTTCTACCTGAGTGTATTTAGAAATTATGATGAATATGTGTCAGGTTAGTATTTGCGCTTATTTTATTATAAAGCTATTTACTATTACAGATTTATATTGTAAAATATCATTAACCATATAATTATCAATTTAATGTGTAAAACAATTTAAAAACAAGTATAATAACATTAGCACTAATTTAGATTTGAATATTAAAATATGCTAAAATATGGTAAACACTACACATGAATGTTCAATTTTATGTAATAATATAATTTTTATGTCTATTGGTTGAGAAATGGTGGACATCTTAAGACAGTGATGTCTAAATTTGCTTTGGCACTTTTAGTAAATCAATATAAAGTACAATGTAATTTTACATTGAAATATACAAGGTGTACACTATTGAACTATAACATTACAAAGTCGAATATTCCGAAAAGTTTTTGATCTAGAAACTCAAATGATATATCAAAATACTCATCAACTGCGAGAGTTAGTGTCATGATATGGTCAATATGCTTGACTTCTTATTTTAAAAATAATCTCAAATCAATCAAAATATTATCCTTTTTCCATAGACATAATGTTAAATTCAAACTTATTTTTGAGTAAAATCCTGAAATATGTCTCAAGCTATTTTTGCTCCTACTAATTTCCCAATTCGGTATAATTTTACTGTATATTTTGAAAATTAATGGTTATACATTTTTAATACAAGTGCTAAAGCAAATTTAGACATCACTGTCTTAAGATGTCCAACATTTTTCAACCAATAGACATAAAAATTATATAATTACATAAAATTGAACATGGATAAATACCCACCCACAAAATTTCTTTTGATTCCAATGATTACTTGTTATAAAAATGTTACCTTGAATTAATTTCCCAAATTTTGGAAAGAAACATTAATGACAACTAAAAACATTAGCATTTATAATTTTGAAAATTGAAATTTACAGTAATGTAATTATTTAAACAATAGGTTATAGAGATAGGAAACGAATAGTGATGGTAGTTATTGGACGATTGGCAATGTTAATCACAGTCATTAGATTTGCATTGTTGGCAATCGATGATAATGTAAGTGGGAGTGTAATTGTATTTTATTCAACATAAACTTAAATATAACATGAAAATTATTAATGTCAAAAATAATTAATTATATTAATTTAACTAAAGTTTAATATAATTTAATAACTAATTTTATATTAACAAAATGAATAATATAGTTAATTATTTTATGTAATTTGCCAGCCTTGGATGCGTGACGTGATGTGTAGCACAACGTATAATTTGGGCAATAAATTAATTGATATCACGATTGCTATAAATATGTTTGATTTGTTTTGCTGCGGATGTATTATAACACGTCATGAGCTGAGTCTACACTTCATGCGATACGTAAACCTCTTTCAAAGCAATCGCATTCAATACCCCCTAAACGCCTATAATATGAAAAGAGGCGCAAAATTGGTTAATATTGTAACAAAATATTTAATGAACCCAACGATTGGTGCGGCAACAATGTTGTCGACTTTAGTATATATAAATAAGTCAATCGAGGGCTACTATGATCCGGATACCAATTTTTCGTTATTTAATCTAGCCGTTCATTTTATTATATTTATAGTAGCATTAGTACAAGTCTTTGCACTTGGAGTACTTGGTTTTGTCATATGGTTTCTCGTGTCGTTATATTTAAAACGTAAATTTAACGAGGTCTATAGTAAAGTACAATTGTCGCAGCAAATAACAGCTATTTATGGCTGGAATCGTTTGACCTTATTTAATTTATTAGGCGAGCATAATCATCTGGTTAAACTTACCCGTGAAGTTGACCATACTATTCGATTAGCCACTTTTATTATATGAATTTTTCAAAGTTAAACGATAATTTCCCATGAATCATTGAATACCTATATTGCACGTTAATGATTCATTAGAAATTATCGTTTAACTTCGAATTATTCATATATTATTTCGCTACGCCAGCTATGCAAATAGCATCGTACGCTCTTTACCATAAAAACACACAGGCTACATTTTGGTTAAAGTTTATCTGTTCAATAGTGTTAATCAATTCTGTATTAGTTTTAGTCGCGTGTAGTTTGTTTAGCACTCAGATCTCAACGGCCGCCCATAAGCCGCGTCCACTGCTGTACTCATATTTGGCCCGAAATCCCAAAATCCCGATCCGTTTAAGGCTTAAGACACTGGCATTGATTGAACGCTTGTGCGGAACCGCCATTGGTTTCTATTGCTATGATTTGTTTCCAATGAATAATTACGAGTTCTATCGCTATCTATATATCGTTGGTTTAAATCATTTTCTTATAATGAGTTTATTTGAATAAATAACATCATTTTTATTAATTAATTATTAATTAGTATTCATTAATTAATTACATATTATTTATAAGTAATTACTCTTTGCTTAGCATTTGTATTTCAGATATGTATAAAAATATAATCAAGTGCCGTTATTGTATACATTACTGTGTCTGGTTAGACAAGAGTGATGCAATAGTTACCTTCACATATTTTGTTGCACAACGTTTGTTATAAAATTGCATCTTGGTAATGCATGCTTTCAATGGAAGTTTACGATAACTATAATGACGGTTATGTCTAGGTAGGTTTTAGGCACTAGTAATTATAATTTATAATTCACAAAACAGATGTTAATGAAAATTAGATGTTGCATAATTAATGTAATTTAAGTTGTAAAATAAACAACTCGTAATGTAATTACAAGTTAGCAGTGTTTCATGGTATAAAACAAGTTTTTCCAAACTATCTGAATATTTAAAAAAAAGAACTTTTGTTTAATTAAAAGCATAATAATATATCCTAATAGTTATTTATGAAATGATTGCCAAATAAATGATTATTAATTTAGAAAGTTACAAAACCTAAAACATTTAGCAATTAGAATTTATAAATAGCTATGTTTGTTAAATTATTATGAAATGATTTCAAATTTTGCATATACCATAATATTTCCATGGTGACACTGATTTATTTGTAGATAGTTTTTAAAAACAAATAAGTTGATGCAATATTATCTAAATGTCAATTTATCATACACTATTTATAATATAATATGATTAATTATTTAAAAATATTAATTGTTATACTTATTATTATTAGTACATTGTATGCTATTTTTGCACCAGTATGAATCAAATATTTTAGAACAAATATCATTTACAGTAAATCTTTTGACATAGTAGTTTTGTATCTATCAAAATATTATTCAAATCAAACTCAAACTCAACAATATTTAGTTATAATATAATGAATTTAAATTACATTAAATCGCGGTTTAATTCAATTAGTCATATTAGTGACAATATTGTAAATGTTATTGAAAGTGTAGAGAAAACGGCCATGGTCTTATTTTTGACTGTATTCAGCAATGATGATGAATATATTTCAGGTATTCCGAGTACAAATAATATAACTGTAATTTAATTGTTTAAATACAAGGTTACAGAAATACGCGAAGATTGATTATGGTAATAATTGGACGACTATCATGTCTAATCGTATCCATTCGATTTGCATTGTTGTCCATCGATGATAGTGTAAGTTAATAGCATAATGAGTTCAAAATAAAATTCATTATTAAAACTATAAAAGTCCTATTTACATTTACATCAATCACATTAAACTAGCATGTAACTCTTATTTTTAACTTCATATGTATTTTATTCAAATAAGTTGTGCAAATTATAATTGACTCATGCTAAATTAGTTTTGTTGAAATATAAATCTAATATTTTATTTATTAGCCCTGGATGCGCGATCTGATGTGTAGCCCAACGTATAACTTAGGCAATAAATTATTTGATATAACCATTGCTATCAATGCTTTCGCTATGTTTTGCGTCGGATGTGTGGCCACACATCAGGACCTGAGCCGTACCCTACACTTCATGCGATACATAAACCTCATTAGATATAATCGCATTCAATACCCGTTGAGCGCCAATAATATGATACGCTGCGCAAAACGTGGTAATATTGGTACGAAATATTTAATGAATCAAACGATTGGTGCATTGATTTTGTTGTCGACCATCTTATATATAACTAAATCATTTAATGCGTATTTTGATTCTGATAATAATTTTTCATTAATTAATCTAGCCGTTCATTTTATTGTGTTTGAACTAGCTGTATTTCAATCATCATCAATTGTAATCTTAGGGTTTGTCATTTGGCTCGGAGTGTCTATGTATTTGAAACTTAAATTCACCGAGGTCTATCGCAAAATACAACTATTGCAGCGTACGCAATTTAATCAACATATATTATTAGATATTTTAAGCGAGCACAATTATATAAGCAAACTAACCCGTCATTTGGATCACTTTTTTTGTCTGAATACTGTTGTAATATATTACATGACAACACCGGGCGTTCAAATCGCAGTGTACGCCTTGCACCACAAAAACACCCAGGCACAGTTTTGGTTAAAATTTATGTATTTTATCATGGTATGTCTGTTTATTTTTATAATGGTTGGTTATAGTGTGTTAAGCACAATGATATCAAAGGCAGCCCATAAGCCGCGTCCACTTCTGTACTCATATTTGGCCCGAAATCCCAAAATACCGCTCCGTTTAAGGCTTAAGACACTGGCATTGATTGAACGCTTGTGCGGACCCGCCATTGGTTTCTATTGCTATGATTTGTTTTCAATGAATAATTACGAGTTCTATCGCTATCTATATATCGTTGGTGTAAATTATTTTCTCATGATTATTTTATTTGATTAATTAAATTATTTCAATAATAATAAAATACCGATAGACGAGTTATAAATATTGCATTTTGAATAACTTATTGAGAATAATGCTACCCTTTATAATAAATCATTAATTATATTAAACTCTTAATTATTAAGTTTATAAATTTTATTTTTAATAATATAATTTTGTGTAATATTATATATAAAATAAATTAACGTAAATAAATTTAACAATTATTTACTTACAAAACTTTATCAAATAAAATAAATATTTAATTTTAATAACTACAAATTAAATAATATAAGAAAATAATGACATAAAACATTGGCAAATATCTTACAAGTTAGTACACAAATCCATATTGAAATAATTTTAATAATTAATACTACGTTTAAAGCAAATTGTGAATACTATTCATTTAAATGTGAATTTGTAGTTAATTTAATTATTAATTTATTATTTTCAGTTAAACTATTTTTGAAATGAAGGCATCGATCGCATGGATTGATCTTACATTTTGGATCAGATCCACAATATTCACAAGACATGAGACAACTATATTAAACGGAGTGAACGGCAGTGCAGTGTTGGGCCAATTGACTGCAGTAATGGGTCCGTCGGGCGCGGGACTGACCTCATTGTTGTGGTGTTTGAATGGTCTCAACGATTGTGGTTTGACTCCAGAGTCAGACATACAGATGAGTCGTGCGGACAAAATGCGGTCAACATTTATCGCACACAACGAAACGCGATTTTCTGATACGAGGTTTGACTGTAAAACAAAACATGATTTACGCATCAAAGTTGTAGAACTTGTCAAATGGTAAACCAATTGATCAGATGATTAATGTGTTGACCGTTATGTCCGATCTGATGCTGACCGACACTATGGACACCAGGACTGAGCGCTGCAGTGCTGGCGAACTCAAGAGACTGGCCATCGGTCTGGAGTTGACCGCACGCCCCGATTGCAAGCCTAACCTTATATTATGCGACGAACCGACCGCTGGTATGGACAGCAATATCGCCGAAATGGTCAGTGAATTGGCAGTAAATTATCAAATAATAATCAAATATTAAATTTATATTTTTTATTTTATAAACAATTATAAATAAAAATCTATTTATAATTCTGTTACCTAAATGTGCGTTATTACATTTAAAATAAATCTTTATATTATTAAATTTTTAAATAACATTTAATTACAGTATATTACGGGGAATTGGCAACAGTTGTTGATAGAGTTTGCATTGATTGCGTTGACTTTGCTATTGATAACACTGTCTTACGGGCCAAATGTTTGGTCAATATAGCGATTGTATTGCTGTGAGTGTCAAACAAAACAATACTTGTCTCGAAATGTTGGACATCAAACAAACCCGGAATCTGTTGCGAAATATTGATAACACTGTCTTACGGGCCAAATGTTTGGTCAATATAGCGATTGTATTGCTGTGAGTGTCAAACAAAACAATACTTGTCTCGAAATGTTGGACATCAAACAAACCCGGAATCTGTTGCGAATAAATGTAGACTTTATTTATAAAATTAATTTCATAATTATAGCTACAATACAACATTATATACTAGAATATCAGTTGACCTCATATTATAAATATCTTATTAACATTGTTTATAAGTTATAAACATTCTAAGCATATAATGATAAACAATAATTATTATAATGCATATCACAATTGGATTCATGAATTTTGAATATTATTATTAACTACAATATAGTTTTAAAAGTAGATGTTACATAATTAATGTAACAGTAATAAATTAACGTCAATTTTCGCGTGATCTAAAATAACTCGATCTGAATATTACAAAATTGATCAAAGTATTCATTTTTGTTTTAAATAATTTTTTTTATATGAAAATATAAATATAATACTGTATTTTGAAATATAACCTACATTGATTATTGAGCATATCATGAAATAATTGCATATTGTGNTTAATTATGTAACATCTACTTTTAAAACTATATTGTAGTTAATAATAATATTCAAAATTCATGAATCCAATTGTGATATGCATTATAATAATTATTGTTTATCATTATATGCTTAGAATGTTTATAAGATATTTATAATATGAGGTCAACTGATATTCTAGTATATAATGTTGTATTGTAGCTATAATTATGAAATTAATTTTATAAATAAAGTCTACATTTATTCGCAACAGATTCCGGGTTTGTTTGA